TGTGGCAGCCGCTGTTCTGGGGCAGCTGGCCCTGGGCAGCGGGAGGGCCCACCCTGGCGCCCTCCCAGCGGGCCACTACACACCGTGCCAGCCTGGCCGTCTGGCTTTTATCATAGGTCCATGTTCCTAGGCTTTACATGTTGTTTGGTATGATTTGGTTTGATAGGACTATTTGGGGGGCTGGGGTGCTCGAAAACTGTTTTCCACATCAATCCACGGCTATGGCTTCTTCTCTTTATACACCTCTGCTTACAAAAGGTGTCTTCACAGGAACACGCTCATTCAGCTAGAGGGGCAAGGCTATCAAGTCCCTGGGTTTTTTTATATTTTATTTGTGGAGTAGTAGGAATGAGGTGAATGATTCTTCATGACAGATAGACTTAAAGGTCTATGAGGATTCTCCTAATCACATATAAAAAGCATGTAATCCTACTATAATTACAGGGTTAGAGGCTGGGTAACATGTACTATAAACACAGGCTATCAAAACTGAAGGAACTATTATAGGGCATGTGGCCCACCCTTCTCATGTTGCCGATAAAGAAACTATAGGCCCGAGAGATTAAATAACATGTCCAAGGCCACTCAAGGTCTCTCAGCCAGTTACTGTAACCTCCAGAACTACATCTAGATCTTTATTCACTGTGTGTTCAATGGTTAAAATAGACCAAAGCAAATAAATTGCTTCATTATACAACAATATTTTTTTAAAATCCATGTATTAGTCTCACTATAAAGCAATTGTATGCTTTTCAAATTTGGCACATATAAACTTACTATTTTTTAAAAAAAAACAAAAGGGTTATAGAAACCAACATGGAGATTCAAGATAGTGTCAATAGACAATATTTGATCTAAGTCAAATTAGCAAATAATCTCTTCAAAATAGTAAGCTGGATCAGATGAAGCATGAATGTAGACTCTAAGAGCATTAATGAAGGAGTGCTCTCAGCAGCCCTGGTTCACTGCAACACTGGAAGGCTGAGAGCGAGAACCAAAGAAACTGCTTGCAGTTGGGTATCACCATTTTCCAGGCTGGTGACTTTAAGGCCATTGAAGTTTGGGCTTTGCTTGGATTCTACGGTACTTCTATTGTTAAGGACTCTCACTGTTCAAAGTGCTAACTGGACTTCATGAAGCCCAGAAATACAGAAAAGTAGCATTGTGGGGCCTTAAGTCTCAGTGTTGTCACTGCTAAGGCCAGAGTTAGTCCCCTGCCAGGGAGCTAACTCATATGGTGCAGACCTCTCCTGACCTGCCCGCTGCTCCCCTCAGCAGTGTAGTTCAGTCCATCTGCTTCTTCTGCTCCCAGCTCTATCTCTGGTGAATCCTCTCACCTCACACACCTCTGATCTACACCCCAGTTCTTAAAAAAGAGTTTTAAAAATTGGCACTGTGGAGATCCATAATTATTTTCATTAAAACATACAATTATTGGCCCTCCCTGGTGGCGCAGCGGGTTAAAGCACTGCACTGAGAATCTAAAGCCGCTTCCGCATGAGTTCGATTTCCGCCTGCCGCGGAGGTGACCACATGGCGTGGCAGACCTCTCCTGACCCGCCCGCTGCTCCTCTCAGCAGTGTACTTCGTCGATCTGCCTGTCCTGCTCCCCACTCTGTCTCTGGTGAAGCCTCTCACCGCCCCTGAGCCTCTGGCCTGTACCCCAGTTCTATATGCACAAATAAATAAATCTTTAAAAAAAAATACAATTATTTCATTCCAAACTTTAAGCAGATATAAATAAAGGAGAGAGGAAAGAGTTGCCCCAATATTTTACTCACCTGGTTACTTTAAGCTCAAAATGTGAGTAGGGATATAGATTTGCTGTCAAGGAAAGCTAGAGGCCTCTACTGCTGTGTTTTCACTATTTAGCCGGCAGCCAGAATCCACTATCACCAACTGATGAGAGCAAACACTCTTACTACTACTTTCCATTTCTTCTTTTGAAGCAACCTGTTAGAGGCAGCCACCATGGCCAGTGTGACAGTCATGGAAAGCCAGGTCCCCAGTCCCCTCTTGTAGCACTGGATGTCTTCAAGCTTTCGCTAGTGAGTCCTTGACAGCAAAAGAAATTGATGAGGACTCAAAGTCAATGACCAGGCTTCAATTCCTTGAGTCGAACACTAACACATTGCTAGTATCATCCGGATTCATATTCTTCCTTCTCACAGAGGAGTTTCAGATGCTAGTGAACATGTGTGGGACTATCCATCACACCCCTTGTGATAACTGCCAAATCCTTAGCTAGAGTTCTGACTGTTCTCCCAAGCACCAATACTACCGTTCCTTCGGGGATCTCCACATGCATTCCCACGGTTAGAGTCGGCTAATTGCAATTAGCAATGACTGTGCTCTAGTGCAGAATGGGAAAAGCAGCAGGCTAGAGGGCCATGTAGAACACAAGGCAAATAGATCTCAAGGGTCCACATTCAGGACGGCCCATGGGAAAAGGCAGTGTGAGGTAGAGGCAGCAGCCTAGGCCAGGTGCTGACCAGGAGAAGAATGAGATCAACTTTGAGAAGAGTTTCAAGAAGAGCTTTGCTAGAGTGAGCAACAGCACCTTCAGCAGAGAGCCTTGATGGACAGAGGAGGGGTGGGGAGGCACTGGGAGGCAAGCGGGAAGAACAGAGGTCTAGAAAGGCAGTAATACCCTGCTCAGGACAACAGCCTATGGGGCTTATATATCCACCCTGCTGCCCTTATGCATGAAATTTCATTGGCATTGGCATATAAGCAGGGGAGCCCATTTTTAGTCAATAAGCATGGAGGAGCCCTCAGAGGTGATGAGCCAGGAGCAAGTGCAGCCTCAAGAAGCATGAGGTTGAGGGGACAAGAGACCTGCTGGAGAGCAGGCACCTGGACATTTAGATCTGGAGCTCAGGAGGAAAGTCAAGTGCTCACAGGGAATGTTTTTGAATTATGTTCCCAGAAAGGCCAAGTGAAGCCATTAAGGCGGATTGGCACCAAGAGGTATAGACAGGTAGGAGATCCAAAGGCAGAGCCTTCCAGGGCAGCCATGCTCAGGTAGCTCAGCAAGGGACAGAAGCTGGTGGGGGAGCCAGAAAGGTAGTCAGGGTGGGCAGCCTGGAGGAAGGGAGGGAATGGGGGCTGAGTGGGAGCTAGAGGGCGCTCTTAGCCAAGTGCTCAGCACTCCAGTGTCGGGCAAGCCTAGGAGAATGCTGACTGAGAGCAGAGGGTTTGGAGATGAGGCACCTTCTCTGCCATCACCTGTTGTTTCTCCCAAGCAGGCCTTTCAGACCACCTGTTCCCTTGCCTTCCAGTCCCACTCCCCCCCCACCACTCCTGCTGATTCCACTTCTGCACTCACTGGCGATACCCCTTTCGTTCCAATCTCCCTTGTGTTCCCCTTAATGATCCCTCTTCTGGATTTCACTGGTGAGACACACCCACCACCTCCTGGCCTCCTCATGATTCTGCCTCCATGTCATCCTGTCCACTTCTGCCAGATGATCTTTCCTAAAACCATGCTCTCTTCATGGCATCCTTTGCTCAACGACGCTTAATGATGGGCCATAACCTGAGATGGAAGTCAAAGCTCATCTGTTGCTCACTGCAAGGGCATCTCCTTGCTGTCTGCAAGCCAAGCTGCTCTCCCGAACGCACTCACCACCTCACCACTCTGTCCACACCTGCGCGCTGCCCGATGCCAGAGACACCACTCCCTCCTGGCATGTCTACTGTGCTTACTCTGTTCTCTGGAGTTCAGCCCCGTAGGGCCACACCTGTGGGGAGGAGTGGAGCCTCCCGGGAGGGGGGCCAACCCACAGGAGGCACTGGGCGCCCACACAGAGCGCACAAAGGGGACATCTTCCCTCTCAGTGGCTCCAGCACTGGAACTTGAGGAGCGAGACGTGCTGGAGAGGGACCTACAGGGACATGAGGAATCAGGGACCAACACCTAAGGGTACCCTGAGTTGAAGAGGAGCAGCTCATCTAGCAAACACCTGCCACAGCCCAACGATGGTGGACGGGGGAACTGTTCTTCACATGCCCTGATTTAGGACACCTGCTTATTTCTGTGGGTTTGATGTTCCCACCTTTCCTGATTTCAAGCTCAAGCCCAGCAGGGCACTGTGGAATGCTGGGTACCACTGTGGCAAGCCCCAAGCCCTGGCAGGAGAGTGTGGAGATGACAGAGCGGGCAGGGTAGATTTGGTCGCACAAAGAACCCGTCTTCCCTGTACTCTGCTTTAAGGCTGTAAGGCCTGACGTGGCGGAAGCCACCTTACTTGGCTCATTTCCCCACAGTACCAGGCATGCACTGCTTGCGGGCACTGACTGATCCATGTGTACCCAAACACTATCCGGGCCTGCCACCCCCCCAAGGGGAGACGCAGCTGCAACCTCAGTAGGTCTGAGGACCTGCCTCCCTCCCTGGCCCATGGCTGAACCTCGGACCCACCTGCACACTCTCTCCACCTTCCGAGGCCTCCAGTGGCCAACTTGAAGATAGCGCCTCTGACCTGCAAGGCCCTGTGAGATGTTATCCCTGACTTCCCAAAGGAAACCAGGACCCTCATCCCCACTCCCACCTTCCCAATAGGTTTAGTTCTCAGGCTTGAGCTTGAAAGGGACTCTCTGGGCCTTCCATGTTTAGTGAGCCAGAACTTCCCCTCTGTGTGTGTGTATGTGTGTGTGACGTGAATAAGAGGACACAACCTATCAGGCCCTAAGACTGTGAATACCACTTACGTACAGCCTGTTACTCTCCCATTCCCAAGCCTCCCAGCGTGGTAAGCATGGTGAGCAAAGCCAGCAGGAGGCTCCATTGGGCCTGCCCTCGGTGGTAACATGGACGGTTCAGGGCTAGCCAGAAGGGAATTTGCTACCATTTTCTTAAGAGGCTGGAAGATCACTTTCCACCAAGGCCACGGGTCCTGGTCCTGAAAGAGTGACTAGAATAGGTAAAAAGCCTGTGAATCAGTTAACTTCTGTCCATGACCTCTTAGTTATATGCTCCCTGCAAAGAATTACAACACTTCAGAGATCAAGGCTTTATTTTCTGTAGCTCATGTCACAACTGTAGCAGCATATCAGAAACATCCCCACACATAAATACACATTTCTCCCCTTCTTCAAAGAGCTGGCAACAAAGGAGAGGTGGAAACAATGATATTCATTAGAGGTATTTAAGAAACCAGACTTACTCACCCTGATAACATACATTGTGCGTCTTGCGGGCAGGAAGCAGCAATACACTTGCATTTAACAGGCACAACTTCCTTAAATAAAGATAAATAAAACTTTCTTGGCATAATGTGTTAAAGGGGGACTTTGGAGGGAAACGTTTGGAATAAGACACCAGCATTAAAACACACACACTCATGTAGTCCAGAGAAATGGCTGGATTCAATCCAAAGTTCAGAAAAAATAGGCACAGGTTGAAGATTTATCCTATTTGGGAAAAAATCATTTCTAAGAAAAATAAATAAGCACACAAGCAAAAAGTCAAAAAGGAAAACAAAGAGGTAAAGTAAAACTGATGTATAAGTGGCTGCATCTCAAATAGTGGTCTGAGCTCACACGTGTGCAAACATGCGCTCCAGGTCACGTGTGAGGCTCATATGCCAATTGCTCTGCCTGGCGGCAGATGCCACACCCATGCCGTGACTGCATCAGGCTGGTATTACTGGCATGGAGAGCAAGGAGAACATTTTGCTGACCAGAACTTTGCAACTGGGCTGCAATCTGTATGGAGCAACAGCAGAGAGACTGGAGTTCAGGGCCAGGGAAAGTCATTTCCCACAAAACGAAGGACCACTTATAGTTTAGTGCTTCACAACTTTCAGAGCTTTCTCAGTAACACGGCTCATTCAACTCAGGATGACCCAGAGGGAAGGCATTCGTGGCTGATCCCAGCCTTTCCGAAAGAGCCAAGTGACTCTCCGAATCACTTCCCACCTTTCCATCTGCTGTCCCTCCTCAAGGAACCTTCCTAGAGAGGTGAACAGTTTTTCTAAATACCAGAGGAAAAAAATAGTGCTATAAGGAACATCTCAAGCAGTGTGATATATTGTAAGTGGATAAAAAGGGGTGACTCGCTTTTTTTCAGAATTTGATCTACTATTTCTCTCCACTCACAGAATTTAACAGTAAGGTAGGCACATTAAGAGATGTAAACAGTTTGCACAGTGCATGATCTCCACGGGCTCTTTGCATCCCATAGTGAGGTACCAGTGGATGTGAACCCATCTCTGAAGCAGGGGCCCACTCATGGGGTGCTCGTAGAAACTGTCTCTGACCAGAAAGCACAGCTTCAGGGTCCAGGATGAGAACTGTCCAAAGCCACCTGAGTTCTTCCCAGGAAGTAACGGCATCCAAGAACCCAGTGTACGCCTCAGTGAGCTGCAGGACGTTGATCTTGGTCAAGGCCAAGGTCCGGACCAGGCCTTCCAAAATGAAAACACGCACACGCTTCCTGCTCATTTCAAAAGGCTCTAAGAGGAAACTGAAGCCATCCGGTCTTCTCTTGAAGAGGAGTGTGGGAATCAGTTGAAGGGTGAGGCCAGCGGAACGGCTTGCGTTTTCTTAGTGGCAATCTAGGTCCAACACACGAATCCAGAGAAGAGGCAGCTCAGCCCTCCATCCTCAGCAGACCAAGCAAGGCCGAGGGTGGCACTGGAGAGGCACCTGGTGCCTGAGGACCTTGGCTTAGCAGCCAGGCTGGCTCCAGCACCTGGTTCCTACTGCTGTGTGTGTTAGGGCTCTGAAAGGAATTAATGGCGGGCAGGGTTACCTGTTTTGTTTTGTTTTTTAAATCCCTAAAACTGAACAGGAAAACAGGAGGTCAAAAGATTTAGTCGATATAGTCAAGAATACCCGAATTGCCCGCACTGAAAGGCCAGTGAAGAATGAAGTCCTAGATCAAGGTTGGGATCATCCCGACGACTGGCCCGTGAGCGGCCCACACTGGCCACTGGCATCCCAGGGTTTGTAAGTGCTGGCTCTGGGCGCCCGTACTCCTGTCACTCACAAGGGGAGAAAACGGCCCAGCAGGTGACCTTGCCACCGGCATGTGGCTGACATACAGCAAGAGAAACTGCGCTGGGCAGATGGTCCTGGGATTTTTAGGAGCATAAGGGGAAAGGCACAAGAAGGTAAGACCAAACAAGTGAAAAAAAGTGGCTAGAATTTTTTTTTTTTCAACGTACCTTTTGGTCCCCCATGAAAAGAGAAAATCAAAATATAAACTTTATTATTTTACATTCAAGTCAAACTTCCAGCGGAGGCTCAACACGCTTTTAGGCCGTGCTCAGCAGGTGATTTCTTCGGCGCCTCAGTACCTACCCTGTGGCAGCATTCAGCCCTCTGCATCTTTTTCTAAAAACCAGCTTTCGATTTCCAGCTGTAACACTTAGTTGTACACACACACAGTCACACACGCAAATCCAAAAACTTCTATGTAGAAAAATAAAGGATAAACATTATCCATCTATTTTATACTGTGTACTGGAACTTTTATATACATACTTTTTTTTTTCTTTAATGTTTTCAGTCACTGCACATTTTCCGTCCTCCCACGTGATCTATGATTCTAGGGAGGAAACTGTTCCAATGAAGCAGAAAAGCTACACTCCTCTTAGGGGAGGAAGAGAAAAAGCAATTTCTCGCTCCCTTTCCAAAGTTCTTCCCCACCTGCCGCCACCTCGGATGTGCCTGCGGACGGCCTTCTGGGGAGCGGCTGCCCTGTCCCCCTCTCTCCTGGGCGTCGGGAGCCAAGGCCCACCCTACAAACACGCCTCAGCTGCCTTCCTCTTGGTGTGAGGGCTGCAGTATGGAAGCAAGCAGGGGAAGCCTTTCGAAAACCAAAGTTTCCGGAATCACTGCCCACAGCCTGCTCCCTTAGTATGGAGTTCGATTTTCCAGCTCGCGCTTGGTAAGGAAGTACTTGAAAAACTCATAGACAGACCAGGAGATGGCAGTGGAGGGCATCTGGTAAATGACACGGGCCTGCATGCCCTTGAAGTAGCCGGCCAGGCCGTTGAGTTGATACACCATCCGGAAAGCATTGGCCATGCCCGACAGCCGGCCGCTGATGTTGGCCATGTTGAGGGCAACGTTCTCCTGCGTATTCAGAAGGGTTTTACAGACGTCCAGTGGGGTGGTGACGGCTGCGGCCAGGGCCCCAGCCAGCCCGCCTGAGATGATGTGGGATTGAGGGTTGTAGACTCGATGAGGGTTGACTTGCTCCTGCAGGAACTCGTAGGTGATGAAGTGGATGGACTGGAAGGGGATGTTCATGGTCAGCTGCGTGGTGTAGCTCCGGTAGAAGGCTCCCAGGCCCTCGGTCCTCCAGACTGTCCAGATGCAGCTGAGGGCCGACGGGTGTGGCGAGTTGTACATCTGTAAGCGCTGCTTCACAACTGTTGTCCGCAGGCAGGCCAGGCCAGACGGGCAGTTGGTTGGGTTTGGCCCCACCCCGGGTCGGAGTGAAATAGGAAGCCAAGCCATAAAGAGAAACAAGCGAGTTTAGACACACTGGTAACACGTCACAAAGAGCCAGCACACACACAGCCCCGCCTGAGAAGCCACGGAGGGCCAGCTCCAGGCATCCTGGCAAGAACGTGGCTCAGGACTCACGGCCAGGAAGGCGGCTAGTTCATGAAGTTTATCTTGTTTAAGGCGGCTCGTAAGCCAGGAACCAGGCAGCCACTTCAGGTTTACTGATCTGATGCCCCAGATGCTGGTTGCACCGGGCAGTAGTGGACGCCAGGCTAATCCTGCCCCCAGCCCCTCTGCCCCGCTGTTCCCAGCACAGTGTTCTGTCCCCTATTTCCAGTGACCTGTGATTCTGAGTGTTTTTAGCGCCAGAGTCACAGTGCTCTTGGAAGAGACACTGGAATTGTCAGTCCAAGTTCAATGATGAACTCCAATGAAGACCCTTGCTCTGCTGACACAAAAGTAACTGATGATTTAAAGGACTTGAGGCAAATGGGGGTCAACTAAGGTCCGACAGAGAGTTTAAACTGACATGCATTGCCAGATATGTGCTACTTTTAAAGAAATGAAGTCCTTCAATCAGTACAATACAGAGAACAGAATGGACTCTCCTATTTTCTTATATTATGGTAACTGTTCACCAATCAGGTGTCTGCATGAACCCCTCCCCACCAAAAGAAAGCCCCACCTCCCAATCTGACACCTCACATCCTTAAATGTCAGAACAAGTCCCTGTCACAAGCCCCTAGTCTGTGGGGCTATGGGAAACAGCTGAGAATAAGAAACTTTAAAAGACTCAAACTAAAATGCTGCAATGTTTACTCCAAGTCTCCTTCTGCAAGGACCATTTGCAGGCAGGGCGGGAGGTAGAGTCCCCAAACTCACATAAAGACCCCAAATTCACATAAAGATCCCCGGCTGAGGGTATCCCCAGAGCTATATAGGTCCTCCCTATTAGACGGAGTCACCTAAGGACACCAGGACATAGAAAACGCTGACAGAACTCAAGTCAGCTCAGCTAGGAATTATTCTACAATGTTCTCAGGTCAAAAGGAAAAGGAGAAGGCAGAAGAAAATGTGATCAAGTGTGAATCTCTGCAGTGCAGTGATGGCTACATGGAGGTTCCAAAGACTATTCCCTCCATGTTTGCGTATGTTTGAAATTTCCCACAATAAACTCACGTTTTAAAAAAGCAAAGGGAACTAAGCCCTAATAAATGGTCTTTGATGGGTTCCCCTAATTTGGGCCGATGAAGATCAACAAGGGCTAGAGAAAGGTGGGTTTATGTGCACACCAGACTGTGGGTCTGTGTGTGCAGGAGCACAGGTCTTAGAGCACTGTGAAAAGAGTGCAAGAGTCGCCAGACAAGCTCATGGACAGCCCCCATCCCTGTCCCAGAGATTTCGACCTTGGGGGGGACCTACAGATCAGCATTTCTAACATGCTCCCAGGAGCGCTGCCATTACATGGGACCTCACTGTTGGAGATCCAGGAATCATGCAGTTCAAATGCCCGTGCTTCTTCTCCAGGCCTCTAGCAATGTGGTAAAGACTTCTGCTTGTTCTGGGAGCCAGGAGTCACCTGTCCGACTGTCAGTGCCCCCCACGCACCCAGCCACCTCTCCTCCTGCCCCTTGGTACATCCCGATTGCCACTCCCTGGGACCATGAAACATTACCTTCTGCCGGATTCATTACCGCATCGTGGAGCAGGGTGGCCATACTCCCAGCTATCCCTGCAAAACAAACTCCAGAAAATTACCTTCTGGGATGGGATGATCACAGGAAGCTCCTGGAACCTAAAACCAGATGGAACCCTGGATATAGTTTTCTAAAAATGAAAGTTGACTACTAACTCCTCCCAGGTAAGCATTGACTCCGAAAAGCCTCACGTGATCATGGAAATATTAGATAACATGGGGGGGGGGTAGGTAACACTGGCAGAGTTATCCACATTGGAATCTTGCAGAAACCTCACTCTCTTGCCCGTAGACAACCCTGGGAAAAGGTTAGACTTGCTAACGATGATGCTCGGAAAACACACCTTATGGCTTTTTCCACTGTATAGATTTAATTCTCTCTAGTCCCTGGTCTTTGTCTACAAATCAGCTCCCTCTGCCGGTAAGCTGAAACAATCCAATCGAAGGGGATGAGGTCCTGTGCACAGCAAGGGGTGAAATCTTTAAGAAAACCCCTAGCAAAATTGAGGCAGTTTTTAAGAAAATGGGCCAGGGCAGAGGAAGGCTGAGGATGAGCTACGTGTATGTCATGTCCACGGTTCGTCTGCAAACTACGCTTGTCTCAGAGCGGGTGGACCCCTGAGGGTCTCATCCTGCCTGAGTTCCAGAACCTGGATCTTCAAAAGGCCGAATCAGACCTGGAATTTTGCTTTTGGCTTTGCTTGTTTTCCCTCTGCAGGTGACAGTGCCCATTATTAAACTAACCTCTGAGGGACACCGGAGGAGGCTTTAGAAATGCATACAGGCCCCTTCTCTCACACATTTATCCAAAGGTCCAAAAGCACCGGGCACTCAAAACAAAGCAGTGACAGCCCTGGGCAGAACTGGGCATAAACTGGGTTCGGTCAAACCCCCTTTGAGAGGTTTAGTGATCAAGCAAAACCATTACATAAGGCGATGTCAGCAAAAAGGGGGCCCTCCCCCCAAGGCCAGACTCCGGGTGGCATTAGAGAATGGGTCTACATGGCCATCTCAATCAATGCAATCAGGGGCCAGTTTTTAAAAAGTAAAACAAGGCCTGCTAGCCAGCCAAGGGGCAGCTGTCACCAAGGCTTTTGGATGGCCGGGCACTCTCGAGTCTGAGAACAGAAAGGGAACGTTAGAGCTGCTCACATCTAGCTCTGCTGGTAGATAAATCTGGTGGAAGTAAGTGCCCATTATGCTGCTGCCCACAGTCCCATTCATCCTCAAAGACAACCAACAGTCAAACCCACACATGACAGGCAAAAACCACCCTGGAACCAGTGACACAGGCCTGCGTAAGGGCTGCCCCCCAATGCAGGCCCCTCCCGCCTCCCCTCGTGGCAACAAAAGAAAACTACTTCAGCCCTTGCTCGCAGGAATACAACTCAGAACAGAAAGGGGGTGCAATTCCCAGCCCCCAGAAGCTTAAGGTGGGAAAGGCCATCTGCGCTGCAGCAAATCCTTTTGTCAGCCATAAAACTTCTTGACCTTTTAAAGCTTAGTTAGATCTTGACGTTGTAGAGACCTGTTGAACCAGTTTTTAAATAGTCTCAAAGAAGTTGTCCAGATCAAACTTTTTTTGGAATCCAGCCTTCAAAAGTTTTGTTTCTATTCAGGGTTTTCCTTTTCCTAGATCTGAGCATTAATGGCTTGGGAATGTTTAAAAAACAAAATGAAAAACCCACACCACAATGAAAACTGAAACACCTCTGTCACCGACTTTCCCCAGGCTTCAGAAAACAAAGGAGGGAACCGGAGATAGGACTCTGTGTGTGTGCGTGTGTGTGTGTGCACGCGTGTGCTTGGTGTGTGGGCACACACGACTCTATAGAGTTCTTTATTCATAAGGAAGCGTGGCGGAGATGAGGCATCAGGCTGCTGGGTCACAGGGAAGAGAACCCTGGGGAAAGGTCTGTTGAAGGAGAGAACTTTTTAACTCCAGACAAACGCTTTCAAAATACCATTGGCTAGGTGGCTGTTTCCTTGATGGTGGAAAACGGCATTTAAAGTCCTTTTCATGTTTTCATAGCAGGCAAAATACATGGCGTGGGCCGGCCCGGCGCCCATCATCATCACGTTGAGGCCCCGCAAGGGCCTCCAGAAGCCTTCAGTCTGCATGATTTTCTTGAGGGCTCCGTAGATACTTGTGTACTGGGCCTTGGGATCTGGATTCAAGCTCTGCATTCGTGTCTTGGAGGCGAGAAAACAAGAAAAGAATGAGAGTTAGCAAGGATGGTAAGGAGGGAAAGACGGGGGTGGGGGGCTAGAAAACAGTTGATTTGTACTGTGCCACAGGAACTCTTAAGAAAAACCTTTCCTCTCTCTCTCCTGGAGTATTCCCCTCCCTGTTGTGCCCCAAAATACTCATAGTCACCTCACTTCATTATGCACACAAAGGCAAGGAGGGGAAGGGGTGGAGAGGGCAGATTTGAAGCAAGAAGACCTGCCTTGCCACTGGCAAGCTGTGTGACCTTTGATGAATCCCTTAACCTCTCTGGGCCTTGGACTCTTCACCTAAAAACAACAGTATTGTAACACATCAAGGCCCTTAATAAAGTCACCTAGTGACATGTCAGCAGCACTGTTGCCCTATGGCTTCCAGATCAGTGGTGATGTCTTCTGTCCTCATTCATCCAAAATCTCCATGACCCAGAAGCTCCTGTTCTGCCCCTGCTAAGAAGTCTCCCCAGAATAGTCCAGCCCTCACCCCCCTCTAAATGTCTTTATTAATGGTTGGGACAGTCCCTGGTGGCGCAGCGGGTTAAAGCACAGCACTAAGGAACTAAAGCCACTTCAGCATGAGTTCGATCCCCAACCCGGAGGTGACCACATGGCACAGCAGACCTCTCCTGACCCACCCACTGCTCCCCTCAGCAGTGTACTTCATCAGTCGACTTGTTCTGCTCCCCACTCTGTCTCTGGTGAATCCTCTCACCGCCCCTGCACCTCTGGCCTATACCCCCAGTTCTGTATGCATAAATAAATAAATCTCTAAAAAATATTAATGGCCTTGTTTTGAATTTCTTATATATACTCTTTTCTTCTCGAGGGAAACACCCATTTTCTGCACCTCTCATCCATTAGACACTAGAGGAGGGGGTTCCCTGTGCCCACGTTATAGGCCACGGTTCCCACATGGGCTCCAACTATGATCTAACCTTAGTCTAGACATTGCTGGGGAGGCATTTTTTAGATGCGAGTAACTTTTCAATCAAGAGATGTTGGCATTCACCAGCCAGTAACACCACAAAGACAACGAGTACATCTTCGCCAGCTTTTTATTTTACCAAGAAAGGACATAAAACAGCAGCAATATAAACAAATCGCCATCACTCTCTGCGACAATTATCAATTCTACAAAGGACAATTTTAATGCTTAAAACAAAACAAACACTACCTCTAATGAAAAAACTTCTTTAAATTTCACCTGACTGATAGAATAGCTCACTGTGCCTACGGCCATACCACCCTGAACGCGCCCGATCTCGTCTGTTCTCGGAAGCTAAGCAGGGTCGGGCCTGGTTAGTACTTGGCAGAATAGCTCACTGCTTTTCCCCTCTATCACCGGTGAAAGTATCCTGGGCCTCGACAGAGGTGCCACTGGACAGCTGGGTTCCACATTCCCAGAGGACCCCCCAGCGTGAACAGACGGGCCGAGTGTCCCTGTAGTTTTAATTGTTTTCTATTGTAACCCTTCATTTTCAGAAGCGATTTGCAGGAGCTTAATAGTGAAGGATGGTTGATACACCTACCCAGAAGGAGCCTGGGTGGTGCCAGGAACAGCCCTCTTAGCCCTGCTGGGGACCATGCAAAGTGGGAGACACAGAGAGGCTCACTCTGGAGGAGCACAGCTACTTGCTCAGAGACAGCAAAGTTCCTGCAGCACCACATGCTCGTTTGATAATCGAGAGCGTGCAAGTTTTCGAGCAAGTCAAATTTTTCACTATGCCCGTTTTTCTTATGGCCTTGCTGGAAAGCCAGAGCACTGGCAGGCAGTGCACAGGAGAGGGTCCAGCGCCCAGCTCCGAGAGCAGCTCCCCACCTGAGCTGTGACCCTGGGCAAGATGGTCACCTTCAACTTCACTTTCCTCCTTTGAGAGAATGGCTGGGTGAATAAATGAGACACCCCACGCCTATTGCTGTCACTACTGAAAACCACGAAGAGCTCATCAAGAGTCTGGGTATTCCGGCTCCAGTATATAACTGCAGAAGGCTCGCTCTGGGAGGTGGGGAAATCATCTTACTCACAGCGGACACCTCCCAGAATGGTGTCCAGCTCACAAAGGGGGGACCAAGAAAATACTGAGTGGATGGATGGACAGATGGACGGTTGGATGGATGGATGAACGGATGGATAGTTGGATGGATGGATGCATGGATGGATACATGGATGGATGAACGGACAGACAGACGGGTGGACACATTCAGGGAACTGAGGACACCAGCAGGGATGAAGGTTGCTTTCTGCCCCCTACTCACCCCCACTAATAAGAACAGGCTTTCTGTAGAGACCTGGCCCTCTCACACACTTAATCTCGATCTTTCCCTATAAAAAGTCCACATTCTGCTGTATTGCTCAAGCCCAGCGTGTGAGCTGCAGGGCCACAAGCAGAGCAGAGGCAGCTGCCCCTGGGGCCTCGCCTAGGCAGCCCGTCCCTTCCCAGGGGAAGTCCCATCTTGGGGAACTGCGGGGCTGTTTCTGCCTCCTCCCCATTAAAGGCCTTCCTCGGGGAGAAGCCAAAGAGCCATGCAAACAGCGGTGGCCATGGGAGAAAACACACAGCAAGGAGCTGAGAGCAGCTTCTGAGCCTGGGTTCGGCGCCAAATACTGGCTCCACGGGGCCTGGTGGGCTGGGCTGCGGCAGCCCCTCTCTCTGGTCCCCAGTGTCCTCGGCTGCAAAATAAGGAGAGGAGCACACCCGTGGCTGCTTCTCAGAATCACCTGGGAAATGTTTAAAAATACCGATCCAGGCATCAGTCCAGCACAGATTCATTCAAAATTCATTTTTCAACTCCCCAGATGATTGTGATCACCACTCATTTTGGAGAAACTCGAAATAATGCCACTGCCAGCCCCGGCACTCACTAATAACCGGCAGCCTAGCAGTAAGGGAGGCGACTGTGGGTACCTTGGAGCAGGAAGGGGTGCCCACCAGGCGCCAGGGCTTCAGAGTCAGCTAAGCAGGCTGCAGCGTCAGAATCCCAGCGCTGGGACCTGGAGCCACTCCCTCAACTGTGGGGTGAGGATTGGCCCCCACCCTCCCACCCAGCCACCAACAATGGCCACACCCTGCCAGCCATGCTTCATCTGTGCCAGCCGGGCAGGCACACTGTCTTTACAAACCCACTCCTCCGCTGGCCCACGCAAACAAAGGGATTTCTTACCTCCCCCTTTTTAAACCAAGGGATGAGGCCATCAGAGTAACTGTTACTAACCCCAAATGTACCCAGCTGCTATGGAAAACCAAAGGACACCTCAGGTGGCTCAGAGGAGAATCAGCTCAAGGGGTCCCCACTTACTGACAGCTTGGGAAAGATGCAGGTAGCCCAGCAACCATCTGGGTTTACAAAGGCCACAGCAACCATGCTTTGGGCCAAATCCTCTTCAAGCTGCCTGCAGGGAGCACTCACGTGGGATTGAGCACCAGGATACAGAGGAAAATATGGGGGGGGGGGAGACAGAAGAACAGGATAAGGGGCTTAAAGGAGAAACTTGGGTGAAAGATATACATCAAGACACTCCTGGGAATGTCCCCACCACCACCACTCAGTGGGCGAGAACAGCTAAAGCAGGCAGCTAGGAAGTGAGGCAGAGGAGGGGGTCAGAGAGATACTAGGCTCTTTCTCAGTGACTCTGCCTTAGAAGCTCCTGGTCCAAAGGAGGAGAAAAAGGGGGTGACTGGAAGCAACACACACATCCTTGGGCAGATGATAGGCACAAGCAGTAGGTGTGCCCCACAAACCCCACAGTGGAATATTATTCAGCCTTCAAAAGGAAGGGAATTCTGACACACAAACTACCATGTGGGTGAACCTTGGGGTGATGACACTGAGTGAAATAAGACAAGCAGAAAGACAAGTGTGTATGACTCCATTTAAATGAGAGGTACTTGGAGTGGTCAAAACCACAGAACAGAAAGTAGAAGGTGCCAAGGTGGGGGAAGGGAAGGGGAGCTGTTTAATGGGGACAGTTTTGATTCTACAGAAACAAAAAAGAGTCCTGTGGCTGGACAGGGTGATGGGGGGGGGCACAAAAATGTGGACTACAAACATCACTGAACTCACTTAAGAGGGTCAACTGGTGTTATATATTTACCACAATTTACTTGTTAAGTAAGGGGGAGGTAAAGAGAAGAAAATGGCTGAACTTGGATGCACAGAGGACTGAAATTAGAAAACACAAGACCAAAAAAAGAATTTTACAAGCAGCCTTTCCATCCAGGCTTTCTGCTCTGGGCCACATAATAGGCTCTACAGTCCTTATAATTCCCATTTAATGTTCCCCTCTTAAAAATTCATAATGCATATTAGCATATTAAAGGCCCTGGGAAGTCCTTCAGGAAAGCAGCCTGCTGCACTACAATATTTAACAAGCTGTCTTAGGCCATGGGAGCCTTGTCTTTGTTAATTACTAGTTGTACCTTGCAGAATACACTTGGGAAAACACTGCAGTAGGCCAACAATGGGCCTAGGAAGATGTGGTGCCTAGATGAGCCCCAGGCACCCCAAAGGCCGCTGGGCAGCCCAAGCAGAGCTTCAGCAGGGAGCAGCCTGGAAGACAAGGCCCCCGGGGATCGGGGTGGCAAGTAGCCTTGCACATGGGGTAAGGCTCTGGCTCTTGTGAGGTTACGCCACAGCTGGTGTGAGTGCTGTTCACGCTCCAGGACAGGATGGAAACGAGTACTAGACCCAGAAGTCAGGAAGCCTAGTCTCTGGCCTGCCTGCCCCTCAGGCACACCTGGGCAAGTCCCCTCCAGCTCTAGAAGGACACGCAACATACAGAAAGGGCCCCAGTGATGCAGAATCTTCCACAGACCCCCCAGCTCCGCGTAACGGGGGAGGGGGACACTCCTTCCTAAGAAGACTCGAAAGGCCTCCCTTGTTGACGTGCTCACTACTAAGAGGAGGAGGGAGGAGAATGGAAAGTTGCATTCTGTCCCAGGTGAGCTCACAGGATCATGTAACAGGGC